GTTTAAGGCCGCTTTTTCCATAATAAAAGAGCAGAGCTGGATGATTAAGGCAACTGAAAATCATGGATTTTGGTCTTTAGAACTGTCTGTCACATGCCCTGAGTGAAGAAAAGATTGGAGAAAGCAGTTTCTAAACCGACCTCTAAATGAGCTTTTATTTTGAAAGATATATTACCATTTTTAAATGGTTCTCAGAAGAAAGACAGCGCGTCTCCACTGGGGGTACTTCAGGTCTAGGCTGCTGTAAATCACGTCTTAAATTCACCAAGAAGAAACAGTCTCCAGTGAAACAGTCATTCTCTTGTGGATGAAGTGGCTTATTAGCAAAGGGGTTGGGGTGACAGCACCACTCATCAACCAGAGCACCCCAGTTTTCGTGTGGCAGGGGGAGCACCCTCAGGAGCTTCCTAGTGGAGAGAGGAAAACAATGTTTTACAGGACAAAATGGAACTGTGACACGCTCTTAATTAAATCAGCACAAAGGATGAAAGAAACTCATTAACCACATTACTTGCAGTGTTACTTTTTCCCCTGATGGCACCAGTAACATATACTCACTATAGACAATTTTGAAAACGCAGGGAGGTATAAAGCAAATAAAAACCATCCTTGGATGGACCTAGAGATTGTCATACTGAGTGAAGTAAGTCAGACTTACTTCACTTATTCCTAAGACAAATATCATATGATATCGCTTATATGTGGAATCTAAAGAAAAGGGCACAGGGCTTCCCTGGTGGCGCAGTGGTTGAGAGTCCGCCTGTCGATGCAGGGGACACGGGTTCGTGCCCCGGTCTGGGAGGATCGCACATGCCGCAGAGCGGCTGGGCCCGTGAGCCATGGCCACTGATCCTGTGCGTCCGGAGCCTGTGCTCGGCAATGGGAGAGGCCACAACAGTGAGAGGCCCGCGTACCGCAAAAATAATAAAAAATAAATAAATAAAAATTAAAAAATTTTAAAAAGGGCACAAATGAACTTATTTACAAAACAGAAGTAGATGTAGAAAACAAACTTATGTATGACAGACTCGTTATCATAAGGGGGGGAGGGATAAATTGGGAGACTGGGATTGACATACACACACTACTATATATAAAACAGATAACTAATAAGGACCTACTGTATAGCACAGGGAACTCCACTCAAAACTCTGTAATGGCCTATATGGGAAAAGATTCTAAAAAAAGAGTGGATATATGTATATGTATAACTGATTCACCTTGCTGTACACCTGAAACTAACACAACATTGTAAATCAACTATACTCCAATAAAATTTTATTTTTTAAATCCTTTCTTTACCACCCAAGGTCAGGTAGCTATTTTTTTACATGACTGTATTTCTTTGCCAGCCTTTCAAGAGAGACAGCTGTACACAGGCACACAGTCTGGGATCAGAGGAAATACACAAACTGTATCTTGCTTTTATTGTTTTATTTATCTATATCATGATACTTAATGACTCCATTCTATTCCATAGGTATGCCAAAACTTTTTAGGTCATTCCCTCACTGTTAGATATTTGGGTTTTGAGTATTTCATTATCAACAACCCTGTGATGAACAGTCCTAGAAAATTTGTATACAGATCTGATTATTTCCTTGGGAAAGAAATCTTGTAAGTGTGACATTACAAGCACAAATGATGTGCATTTTTTAAAATTAATTAATTTATTTATTTTTGGCTGTGTTGGTTCTTCATTGGTTCTTTGCTGCTATGCGTGGGCTTTCTCTAGTTGCGGTGAGCAGGGGCTACTCTTCGTTGTGGTGCGCGGGCTTCTCACCGCGGTGGCTTCTCTTGTTGCAGAGGACGGGCTCTAAGTGTGCAGGCTTCAGTAGCTGTGGCACGCAGGCTCAGTAGTTGTGGCACACAGGCTCTAGAGCACAGGCTCAGTAGTTGTGATGCAGGGGCTTAGTTGCTCCACGGCATGTGGGATCCTCCCGGACCAGGGCTTGAACCCGTGTCCCCTGCATTGGCAGGCAGATTCTTAACCACTGCGCCACGAGGGAAGTCCCAATGTGCATCTTTTTTAAACTCAATTCCTATATTGACAAACTGCTTTCCAGAAAGGCTATACCAATCTATAATTCTTCCACTTACTTTTTTCAGAATTGAATACTATCATTTTTCCATGTAATTGGTGAAAATGTTCTCAATACTGCTGTTACTGGCAATTCCTTAATTACTGGTGAGATTGAACTGGCTTTCATATTTATTCGCCACTGTGTTTCTTCTGTGAATTATGATCAATGGCCATTTTCCAGTGAGATGTTAGTATGTTCTTATTAAATTGTACAAGTATATTCTATATTAAGAATATCAGCCCTTTGTCTAAAATCTGTGACAAGTATTTTTCCAGTGTTACTGCCTCTAATTTGATTAACATGTCTTAAATTTCAAATCGTCCAACCCTTTCTTCTGTGATTTCTCTCATTACTATTTTCTATAAACTTTTTATTTTGGTGTAATTTTACATTTACAGAAAAGTCACAAAGATGGTACAAATAGTTCTCATATATACTTCACCCAGCTTTCCCTAATGTTAACATCTTACATAACCAGGGAGGATTTGTCAAAACTACTCACTTTATCTGGATTCCCCTAGTTTTTCCACTAAAGTCCTCTTTTTCTGTTCCAGGATCCAATTCACAACACACTGCATTTAGTCATCATGTTTCCCTCATCTCCTCTGCTCTGTGGCAGTCTTTCCTTGTTTTTCAGGACCTTGAGGTTTTTGAAGAGCACTGGTCAGGTATTTTACAGAATATCCCTCACTTGAGTTTGTCTGGTATTTTCTCAAGATTAGACTGAGACTATGGGTTTGGGGGATGTCTACCACTGAGGTGACTTCTCACCACACCAAACCCAGAGAAGACACTGTATCAATATGACTTATTCCTGGGGATGTCAACCTTGATCACTCAGTTAAGGTGGCATCTGCAAGGTTCCTCCACTAGCAGAGCTCCTATTTCTGCCTTTGCACACTCTATTGTTTGGAAGTGAGTCATTAAATCCAGGCCACACTCAAGGGAAGAGAAATTAAGCTCCACTCTGTCATTATTATTTATGCTTAGAACATCCTTACAATTAAGTAGCCCCTTACATTTGCTCCCAGGTTTTGTTTTAATGGTTTCATTTTTTTCCTGTAGAAATATAGACACCTGAGACTTTTCCATGGTTTACCTCTATTTTAATCTAAATTGGGAAGATTTAATCTAAATTTACCTCTATTTTAATCTAAATTGGTCTAAGGGGAGAAGAAATGTGGGCAGGATGATGAGGATATTTCAAAATAATTTATCCCCCCCCAAAAAAAAACAACCAGAATACAAACATTCTTCTCGTCTCCCTAATGCCTTTGAATATTACGAAAGCTTAAAGCACCCTGAATACTTGCCCACTTCTGCTCCAATCGACTGGACCATTTGCCTGCTAAGGATCAACTGTATTTGATCACAGTCCTGTTTATGCCACTTATGCATGTTTTTTTTAGTTACATAATTTTATCAAACATGTTATTTTGTTACATGTTATTTTAGTTACATAATTTAATCAAACATGTAAACCAAAGAAATATGAGTTGCTATTCCTCTGAAAACTAAACATTTCAGAGTAGAGGAAAGTCAGTTATTAAAAAACAAAATCACTGGTGGAATGTGGGAGATACAACTATAAAAAAACTGAGGCGAGGGAAAAAGAATAAAAATCTAGAAGAATTCTCCAATCAGACTGCTTCAGTGTCTAACTTCTCATTCCACTTCAAATAAACCTAAACTGGAAACTCTGGATAATGAATTTAGGATGGCATAAGTGAAAAAAGCTAAGAGTCCACAGCAGCAGACTCATATTCAACAAAAAGATATTAGTTCCATACTAAAATACTAGTAAGTTAATGTACATTTGCATGTTTTAAATGAAAATATTTAAGATGCAAATGTATCATTTTTAAATGATTCCCTCCCATGAACCCTTTTTCTTTGATTTCCCCAATCAACTCTGAGTCTCATAAAAGGGCAATTACAACGTGGAAGAGGGCAGACATTTAATTTTAACTCCAGAGGACAGAAGTAGGAACAAGAAAGGCTGATTTTAGTTTAAGAGAAGCAAGAACATTCCCTTTTAAATTAGGAAATGCTGTACCACTAACATCATTCAAATTGCTGAGTCTATTAAAAGATTAAGAATCGATTCTTTCAACATATACTTTCTAAAAGTCTACTACTAGGAGTCAGGCGTTCTGCTGACACAAAATATTAGTACATACAGTCCCTTTGTCAAGATATTCACATTCTAGTGGGAAACATACATCTATGAACAAATACCAAAACCAGAATATAATAAATGCTCATAACAGAGCAGCAGCTTGGGAGTTGAGGGGGGAAAGGGAGGCGATGGCTCAGACCCCTTTGAAAATCCGATGAAAGTGTTAGCCCCTTTCTTCAAACATACATTCCCACCCGCACACAAAATCTGCATATTACTTTAGGGGATTCATGGACTTGCAAAACCAATCCATGAATTCAGGGCAATATGTACAAAGTGCTAGGGAAGTAGAGTGCCGCTGGACCTCAGAGAAGAGGTAACATCTGAGCAGACCTTTGAAGGATGAATAGGAGTTCTCCAGGCATTGAAAGGAACTAAGGGCATCACAGGTGTAGGAAACAATATGAAGACAGGCACCATATATGTTTAACTTGCCACTGGAGTCCCAGTGTCAGGCACAGTGCCTGACTCATAGTGTAAGCTCTTAAATAAAGGAGTGTTGATAACTATAACATGTGAGGCCCCTGGTGGGGTCTGCAGCATACTCGGATGAAAGGGTTAACAAATATTTTCCTTTGCTTGAGAATCTGACCTTTGGTTTAACCACCTAGACCTGTTACCCTGGAAGCCAGGTAGATGGTAGGCATTGATTACACTGCTAGACAACACTGACTATGGTAAAAATGATCCTTGATTGGTCTACTGCATCTGGACTAGGAAGTTTGAATGAGCTGTAAATATTAGATGAGGATGCCATGCTTCAAACTTCCCTGAATGTAGGTCTTCGTGGGGAACCCTAAAAACTATGCCAAAGAATTATCACAAGAGCTATTGGCTGTTTAGGGCATGAGGCTTCTTCTCAGGGTAGCTCCTGCACCTGCCAGATATGAATCTTGCACTTTGTACCTGGAACCGTGTCACATGGGGAGACAAGAGTCCCCAGAGGGGTATGTGACCTGCCATTTGCTTGAACTGCTGCAGGTCCTCTGCTGAGGGGAACTCCTGCCACTGCCCCGAAGGTGAGAAACGTGGCCGGTGGTAGTGTTGTGAGTCCGCACGTTTAGCTGAACTTAAGAAAACCTCAGGTGGGCACCACCCCCACCTTATTCCATGTAATGTTTACTACAACTTTGTGAGATGAGAA